CCGGAGGGCTAGTACTAAACCAACCATGCCACACGACCCACTAAAAGGAGTGTGAAACTAGGATCTAACTAGCTCCATAGACATTACCTATCTACTCATACATGAGTAATGATAGTGAGATTTTACACACACTCCCCGTGGGCACTCGGTGGAAATTGATTTAGAAAGTTGAAACCGAAGTCAGATATCCTGAGGTGTATATATATGAAAGATGGAATAATGCAATGTCGCATTGATATAGATATAAAACAATCCTCCCTGACCTAGCCTCGAACCTAGGTCACTCCAGGTATGAGACCGGAGGGCCAGTACTAAACCAACCATGCCACGCAACCCACTAAAAGGAGTGTGCAACTAGGATCTAACTAGCTCCATGGACATTACCTACCTACTCATACATGAGTAATGATAGCGAGGGTTTACAGACACTATAAAAGGTTTATCAGTCTTTGCTGGAGCATGAAGGGCAAAAGCTACAGTGATAGCTTGAGGCAGCCTTTATTGTTTATGATTATCTTTTTTATTTTTTTTTAATTCTTAGCATCATTATTGACATCATCAGTATAAGTATTGTTTGTAATGATTCTGAATGATGTGCTCATTTCTGATCATCATGCTATGCCAAACAGTGTTACTATAGTGGAGAAGGAAGGGCTAATCCTTGTGCAAACCTTCCCAGTTGGTGTATGAACAGGAGGAGGTCTACACTCTACCCACATCCCAGGATGAGCTCTCCGTCAGTGGAAAATTGCGTATCTTAGAAAAGGTAGAGTTTCTTGTACTTTGAATAATTTGCTGTATGAATGGAAATTATGGATGGAACTTAAATAATTTTTAAGTAGCATTTTGCTTTTGAATAATCATCTTGACCCTTTTGTAATTGATAAACCTGAGTGTTTCTATTATTGGTATAGTTAACCATTTTGATTTGTAATCTATAATGTTCATTGTGTAGCTACACAGGTCATTGTAGTAGTATGAATGTATTTGGACCTACTTTAATTAAAGGATTGAATATTAATTAATTAGAGATTACTTTTTTTCATTTCATGGTATTTAGCCAAGATTTTTTTTTATGAAACATATATCAAATAAATAAAAATAACTAACTAACTCTTTCAGTCTCTCTCTCTCTCTCTCTCTTTCAGTCTCTCTCCCTCTCTCTCTCTCTTTCAGTCTCTCTCTCCCTCTCTCTCTCTCTTTCAGTCTCTCTCTCCCTCTCTCTCTCTCTTTCAGTCTCTCTCCCCCCTCTCTCTCTCTCTCTTTCAGTCTCTCTCAGTCTCTCTCAGTGTCTCTCAGTCTCTCTCTCTCTTTCAGTCTCTTTCAGTCTCTCTCAGTCTCTCTCTCTCTTTCAGTCTCTCTCAGTCTCTCTCTCTCTTTCAGTCTCTTTCAGTCTCTCTCTCTCTCTTTCAGTCTCTTTCAGTCTCTCTCTCTCTCTTTCAGTCTCTTTCAGTCTCTCTCTCTCTCTCTCTCTCTCTCTCTCTCTCTCTCTCTCTCTCTCTCTCTCTCTCTCTCTCTCTCTCTCTCTCTCTCTCTCTCTCTCTCTCCTCTCTCTCTCCTTCCCTCTCTTCCCTCTCTCTCTCTCTCTCTCTCTCTCTCTCTCTCTCTCTCTCTCTCTCTCTCTCTCTCTCTCTCTCTCTCTCTCTCTCTCTCTCTCTCTCTCTTCCCCCCTCCCTCCTTCCCTCTTTCCCTCCCTCTCTCTCTCTCTCTCTCTCTTTTCCTCTCCCTCTCCCTCTCCCTCTCCTCTCCCTCCCTCCTCCTCCCCCTCCCCTCCCTCCTTCCCTGCTCTCTCTCTCTCTCTCTCTCTCTCTCTCTCTCTCTCTCTCTCTCTCTCTCTCTCTCTCTCTCTCTCTCTCTCTCATCTCTCATTCTCATTCTCATTCTCACTCTCTCCCTCTCCCTCTCCCTCCCCCTCCCCTCTCCCTCTCTCCCCTCCCCCTCCCTCCCTCCCTCCCTCCCTCCCTCTCCTTCTTTCCCTCCCTCCCCCCATCTCTCTCTCCCTTCCTCCCTCCCTTCCCTCTTCCTTTCCTTTTTTTCTCTCTCTCTTAAAGAGAGAAAAAGAGAGACAACTAAACAGACAGACAAAGAGAGAGTTATAGATTTACAAATATTTTTTTCTATGTACACTTAAAGCGCCATGGTGTTGTGATTGAATGGAGGTGCTCTGATGATGAGACATCGGCAGACAGCGAGTGGGCAGTTATCAACACAGCGGCTGTAACATTCACACACCATAATGTCTCAGGTAGGATGGCCACTGCATAGGCACGGATACCCAATCTCAAACACACACACATAAAAACATACATAAAATATATTCATATATTTTATATATAATTGGCTCATTGGTGACTTAGTACAAGTGTAGCCATCTATGCGTAAAAACAATTAAACAAATAAACTCACAGTACACACCCATGCCCATCACTGTTGGGTTAAATCTCCCGGGGGGGAGGGGGTCCCTAGAACCAGCTCCCCCTGTACTTTTCCGTACGCTATTATTTAAATTCGACGGGTATTGCTTGCCCCAAAGAGGCCCCACGTAGTATTGGAACAAATGCGGGACAGCTAGGAGCAAAATTATAATTTAGAATATACTCATTTGAATGCAAGCATTATATCAAAATTATTTTTGAATGCCATTTAATATTCAGTATATGGATATTCATATATGAGTGTATGTTCATCCAAATGCATTCTTGGACCAAAGGCCTGAAATTATATTTATTACATGTTTTGTTAATTTAGACTTTCATCTATAATATATGTTTCAATATATCCACATTAATCCTCAACAATTGTTAGATATAGTGCAGTAACATAAATATATCGATGATTGTGTTCAAAGTTTAAGTTAACTCAGTGCCTCTGGAAAAATGCTGTGCTCATTTTATGTATGTGTGTGTGTATAAATATGTGTGAAATGTCTCTGTACAGAGATGGCTCTGCTAGGGCTTAACAACAAAGGACCTTACCTGATTTCACCTTTCCTTGAACTGGTGGGAAAATTTAGAATTTTTTTTACTAATGGTATGAATATTGATGGGGATATTTTTATTTTAGGCATTATAATTACTCGAATGTTATTGACAGCAGCATAAGATAATGTAGAATATTCTTGAAAGTCATGATAAAGGGTAAACAGGCAACATGCCATGCCATGCCCACTGTGAGTTTACTTGTTTAATTGTTTTTACGTTTAGATGGCTACACTTGTACTAAGTCACCAATGAGCCAATTACGAGTACTGCCTGTCTCGCCCGTTCACTCTATTCTTTAAGTTTTGAAAATATTTTTCATTATCTTATTTTGCTTTTACTAATGTGTATAACATTATAGTAATTATAATGTTTATAATGAAAAGAACACCATCGATATGTGTACATACCTAAACACATATACATATACATAATTATATACACACACACACACATATATAGATATAGATATATGCATTTATATTTAAATATATATATGTGATTATATACATATACATATGTACACATACATATATGTATATATACACACATATACATATTTATATGAGGGGGTTTCAAAAAATTTGTGGAAAAAGTCCATAAGTAAAAATTATATGGAAGGATTTTGATTTCAATGCATCCTTGTACCAATGTGTTATAAAGTGTTCAAACATAAACCCTTAACCCAATGCCGTTGGAGAAAATGAATAAATAATGGGAAAAAGGGTGTGCTCATTTTCTATATTTTTTTGAAATGTCGCTGCACATAGATGGTTCTGCTAGTGCTTAACCCATTCGCCACATGTGGCAAGAATAGATGCCATGCCCACTTTGATACACATTTATTTCTTGTATTTACACATAGATGACTCCACAAGTTCTTAATCACCAAATAGCCAGTTATCAAGAACTACCTATTTCACCTGTTTACCCTTTTCCTTCAATTTAGGAAAGGGTTTTCTGTATCATTTCATTGTCTAAAATATTCAAATGACAATTTAATAATCATAACATCAATAACAATAATAACAGTATCGATAGTAGTGGTATTAATTTTCCTGCCAATTCAATGAATGGGAAAATCAGGGTCGGTACAGGGCCTACTGATAGACTCCTTGCCGGCTGAGCACATGTGGAGCCATCTGTATGTAACAAAATTCACCAAAAACTACAGGGGACAGAACATAAATCCAGGGCGAATTGGTTAACCACAAAGGAGTCAATTAGTAGACCTTGTGACCTTACGTGATTTGAATTGGCGGGCAAAACATATTTTTTACTTGTGCTATTATTAATATCGATTGTGTTATTTTTTATTATAAACATTATAATTACTATAATGTCATAAACATTAGTAACAGCAAAATAAGAAAACGTAAAATATTTTCGCAAATCAAAGAAAAGGGTTAACTGAGACAGGCAGTATTCGTAACTGGTTCATTGGTGACTTAGCACAAGTGTAGCCACTATGTGTAAAAACAATCAGACGAGTACTCACAGTGGGCATAGCACGAACATACATATCATGCCCATTGGCATTGTGTTAAATGCAGGTAATAACGCATCACCGCCAGTTAGAAGTGAGGCACCATTCAAGCAACATTGAATCCACCAAAGTGAAGGCCAGGACGAACATCAAATTGGTGGTGAAACCCGGTTGGAAGAAAAGGCAAATTATTGATGGTCTGGAACAAGTTTATGGTGACAATGCTCCAAAGAAATCAACAACCTACAAATGGATAGATTGGTTCAGAAGTGGAAGAAATGAAACTGAAGATGAGCGCCACAGTGGCAGGCCATTAACATCAGTTTGTAAGCAAACTGTTGACGCTATATGCGTCAATGTTTTGCTCACAAAAGGATAGACGAATAACCACTGAATCAGTAGCAGACACACTCAACATCTCTGTTGGTTCTGCACACACAATTCTGGTGTAGAGTTTGGGGCTAAGCAAACTTTCTGCTCAATGGGTCCCTAAGCTGTTGTGCCCAGATCAGCAGCAAACAAGGGTAGATCTTTCA